CAAACCTCTTGAAGTCTTTGTTTATGTGTGCATTTGAGCTGTCAGTGAAATGAAATGAAAATGATACAAATTGAATCTTTAATTTGTTTAATGTGTTTTTTGTCTGTTTAGCTGTTATTTATTTTTTGGGAAATGAATAAAATTGTAAATATGAGTGTGAAGAGGAAGCGAGTCTCTATAACCTGAGCTGCAGAATGAAAAAAGCAGACCAAAGAAAGAAATTGCGCAATTTTCCCCTGTTACTCCCTTTTTGATTCCATCTTTTTCTTGCAAGCTCAGTCTTGCGCCATGATTTTGAAGCAAAACAAACTAAACACCAGATCCCACTTCAGGTCCTTGGGGAGATATAATATATATTTTTTAAAAACACAATAAAGAAGAACATTGTGCAATGCAATTAAAAAATACTTTATGCAACAATGGGGTGGTACTCCAGATTCCTCCTCCCTGTTGGTGCATTATGTCTACAGTTTTTTTTTCTGCACAAGTTCAGGAGGAAACAGAAAGAGTAGGAGGGTGTGATCCCCCGGTCGCCCTGATTCAATCTCTGTTTCTGCAGGAGGTATTGGGCCTGGGTCCAAACACCAAGCACCAAGCAGAGAAGCTGAGCATTTTCACACGTCAGCGTTCTGCTGCCTTGCACAGCTCCCTGCTCGTTTATCAACAGTCCGTGTGTGGGTGTATTTATAATCCAGTGTCTCCTGTCTGATGTGCACTGATTTGATTTGTGTCCTTTAATCTTCTCATTTTTTCCGCCCACGCGCTTTCTGTCTGAATAGCCATTTAAAATATAAGACTGTGACACGTAACCCTAAAGAGCGCACACGCTCAGAAGCATCCAAGCAAATCAACATTCTGTGTGGCAACTAATATTTTCTAGGCTCTGTCTTTCAAATGCAGTGTCACACAACAAAAAAGAAGTTATTATAATGATTACAGTGTCTCATTCACCCTCCGCCTCAATTAGTTTATTTATTCAGTCTTCTCATAAAACACAGACAGTGTCGTCTTCTTCTCTTCTTTCAGCTGCTCCCTTTAGGGTTCATCTGCCTTCATCTCATCGTCTCCCCAGCCTCCTCCTCTGTCACACCAACCCCCTGCATGTCCTGCTTCACTACATCCATGAATCTGCTCTATGGTTTTCCTCTTTTCCTCTATCTCTCCTCTCCAAATCTCCAAACCATCTCAACCTTGCCTCTATAACTCCCACTGACAATCTTAGCATCCAGCTCTTCCACCTTCAGATCCACCTCCCGTCTTATTGTTAGTGCCATCGTCTCCGAACCATACATCACAGCAGGTCTCACTGTCGTCTAATCATCCTTTCATTATTGCTGTTATCCTTCCGTCACAAATCACCCCTAACACTCGTGTCCTCTCGGTCCACCCTCCTGCGCTCTCTTCTTCACCTCTGTTGTGCTCTGTCCACTGGTTTGGATGACTGAGCCCAGGTACAGCCTGATATTTCACCTTCACTACCTCTCTTCCTTGCATCTTCACTGTTACACCCATCTTCCTCTCACTGACACACATATTATGTTTTGCTTCTTCACCTTCACTCTCTTCACTTTTTTGTGTATTTCCATCTCTGTCCTTAATCACCCTGACCATCAGTTCAATCTCTCATGAGTCCTTTTCTTCTTCCTTAGCGTCCAGCCTCAAATATAACTCTTTGAAAGCCTTTTTCTTGTCTCTTTGCTGCTATACGCCTAGCCTCCTGGTACCCCTGCCTCCTCTCTTCATCTCTTCGATTATCCCACTTTTTCTTTGCCAACTCCTTCCTTTAAATACTTTCCTGTATTTTCACAACCAAGTCTCTTGCTTTTCTGCCCAGAGGATACAGCAAAAGCCTTCTTGCCAGTTTCCTTCAGCATTTTAACAGTTATCTGTTATCTGCACAACATTCTACTTTTTTCAACCTCCACTATTTAATCCTTGCCTCTGCCTTCACTCGCTTCCTCTTGTTGATTTCCATCCTACAGACTACTATCTGATGCTGTGTAGATACATCCTCCCCAGACTTCTGCAGACCTTCTGCACTGGAGATAGTCAACCTGTCCACCTGTGTATTGTAGAGGCAGCCAATCAGAAGAATGTTGACAGAGGTGCTGAGCCAAGGTCCATTTTAATGATTATGATTATGAAATTATTATTTTGAACAGTTATTCATTCACAACTACCTTATAATACCATACCAACATACTTTATTTATAAAGCACTTTTAAAAATACATTGTACAATTCATGTGATATTCAGTGTAATAAATTCCAGCATATCAAGCAAGATTTTTCCTTAAGACAAAGAGTTTTATACTATTTTTGAATCTCCTAAAAATGCGGAAAAGAATTCATCTGCCACCCATCGGCTGTGGTTCTTTTCTCTTTTACTCCTTGTACCAAATATTGCTTACAACAATAAAATGGATCTTTATTGTTGTAATCCCCAGTAATGAATTTTGAACTGTTTGAACCAACATGGATATAGTACAATTCCTTCTATTGAGAACCACAATAACTGCAGATAAGGATCTCACTTTCTGCGCAAACTATACATCAACAATCTGGATGCTATTAAACCCGAGTGAAAAGGATGAGATGGTGTTTATTGTTATCTGTTTTCAAAAAGCGCTTATAAAGGGAGCTTAGGACAGATTGTGGAAATCCATTAATTCTCTGGGAGGGGGAAAAAAAAGGTGTATTGCCTTGTATGAAATCACAGGATTTGTCGGGGTTGGAGGTGGTGGTGGTGGGGGGGCTGAATTTAACCTGTAATAGCTTTACCTCAGCTGCGCACATTGTCAGAAAAGTCAGACTGAAAAGACTGCAGCACAAAGATAAGACACATGATGCACGATCGTGAATACAAACGACTGGGATGGATCCATATCTCTGAATTTTCTCTCTCTGTGTGCAAACATACACGGGCCAAATGAGTCACCCCATCATCTGCAGCGCCCTAATCACTTTGTAATCACTTTAAGTGTGCATTGTTGTTGACAGTGTAGCCCCAGCTTGTGTAAATAAATATACCAATTTATGCAGGATCGTTTGTTGACAGAGCTATACGTGGAAGCGACATTATGAAGTGAATTTGAAGAACTAATCCTCAGACTCAGCATACACAAGTCTGTGGCCACACCAAGAACGCTCATCTTTAAATCCAGGTTTCTAATACCAAGAAATCCCCTTTCCTCTAAAACCTTAACAATAAGGATCTTAGGAGCTCTCCACTTCTCATTTTATGCAGCGAAATCTGATTTCTTTTGAAGAAAGGAATGAGGCGAGATTAACTGAATCTGCCGTCCTCCCTAACCTCTTCACAAAACTGCCCAGATTAGCAAGGAATTAAGTTTCAACCGTTTTTATGTGTCTGGTCCATAGGGGGGGATTATGGTTTTACTTCTTTTTTTTTGGCCTCCCAATTTCACTATAAGGGCTTGACACGCTGCTGTAAAGAGAAGAAGGAGAAGGAGAAGAGCAACTGAGGCTCGAAAAGTCCTCTGTGTGTGTGTCACAATAACCTGTGATCACCACTGCTTTTGAGCTTTCACTGAAACCTCTTTGGAGGTGGACTGATCAGGATGGAGAGGCAGAAGTTCCCCTTTACTATTGAGAACATCCTGAAGTATCCGAGCAGGAGTGGAGATAAACGGTCCTACGGAGCGAGTGGTCTTGGCTTAAAAGAGAAGACAGTGAGTCCTGCTGGAGGCCAAACAGAGGCGGTTCATCATGCCTGCCTGTGCTGCTGCTACTGCTCCCACTGTGCTGACATACTCCAGCCTGACTTCATCCACGAAGGTAGGACCATACCTTCCGCTTTTGTCTGTGGTTGAGCTTGATTCTGCTCCCCCAACCTTAAATCAGACCTCCTCCCTGCAGCTTGTCAGTATGGCTGGAACCCAGCAATCCTCTCAGATTCGTGCAGGCTGGCAGACACTCACAGGGAGGAGCAGTCACCCAGTCAACAGAGGCGAACCCGGCGTCACCGGACCATTTTCACTGAGGAACAGCTGGACGCACTGGAGGAGCTGTTCCTGCAGAACCAGTACCCAGATGTGAACACAAGAGAGAAACTCGCACAGCGCACTCACTTAAGAGAAGAGAGAGTGGAGGTAACACTGCAGCATCACATAATTGTTTTTATTAAATATGATGGTCTGCTAATAATGTAAATGTGAATAAAGACTACTGTAGATACTGAATTTAATAAAATGACAGCTAAACAATGTTGCCTCTTTTCTGTCAATCAGGTTTGGTTTAAAAACAGAAGAGCCAAGTGGAGACGTCAGAAAAGACTTTCATTTGTTGTGGGAAACACAGAAAAAAAGTGAAAAAAAAAAAAGAAGTTTGCATGGCTCTGTGTGATCCAATCAAAATAATTTGCATATACCTATATGTAACATATAATTCTTATATGTAACCATATATGTAAAATCCTGGCATGTATTGATACTATTACTGTAAGTAAAACCTTGAATTTGTAAATGGGTTGTTGTAGTTTGCACAGACTGTTAAAAAAAACAAAAACGTGTCCTTGAGAAAAAAATACAGTTGTCGGGGGATTTTTTTTAAGAAAAGAAGAAATGCCTTTTTTGTGCCACTAATAGAAAACGCAGCTAACTTATTTTTTATTTTTTTATTTTTTTTTATTTTAATAGAATTTTAACGCCTTACTTTATCGATTTCTTTAGCATTTCTTTGTCAAACAAACGACCAGGGGGTCAGAGCTAGCCCGCCAAAGAGTCCAACATGGCTCAGTGGATGGTTTGCTATATCTGAAAATTACAATGAAGTCATTAATATGTTTAGTATGTCTAATATCAATTTTCCCACAAAATGTTGTTCGTTTCTGGTGATGACAGGCATGAAAATGTTTCAAAAGTTTAAATCACTTCTGACTAATTGTTTACACTGTAAATAAATATATTAAAAAATTATTAAATTGTTAGGCACTAAAAACTCCACATGTGAAGGTCTTGTGCTTTTGTAAAGCCACTGTGAGACAGGACACTAGAGTTTGTCTTCTGTACTGTAAATGGAGTGTAAGTGTATTTCATGAAACAAAAACTATATAAAGCCTTTTTAAAAATTATATATATAAATATTTTTTTATTTTTTTATTATTATTTTTATTTAAGTTAAGGTCTGCGAACTATCAAACCGCTGTTGGCTTTCAGGGTTTATTTTGGAAAATTCTAGCGAAGCCGTAAATTTCCGGTGACGTAATCGTTCGGCTGTGCGTTGTTTGTACGCTGGTGGCTAAAAGTCAGCTAATGTGTTAGAGTTGGTGGCGTTGGGCATTTTTAAGTATCGGGTTTTTACGTTGTTGGTTAACTATTTAAACGGTGTTAACCCACTGAAAGAAACACCCTCTAATAGCTTAATTTTCGTCGCTATTTGTATTAGAAGATTATTTAGCCATCTGGCTAGGAGGCTAACAGGGACCACAATGGAGGGCAGCGCCAGCGTGAGGAAAGCACTGTCCGGGACTCTCGTCCCTTTGGCGGTCTCAACAGTGGCTCTTCAACAGCAACCAGAGGATAAGGAGAAGGGAACGCTGAAGAGAAACGTCCTGGATGAGGAGGAATACATTGAGGTAAATAATAGCAGACATAGACAGGCGCGACTGTGTTAGCTAACAACTGTAAGTTAGCAGGCAGGTAATGTACAACACAGCTACATTTCTTTAGACTAAAGACTTTATTGTACTAGTCTGGACAGACATAGAAGTGTATAACAGCTCCAAATATTATCCAGTCAGTGTGGAAAAAGTGTTTACTTATCAAATCTACGTATAGGTTTAAAGTAAGATGCTTGTTATGACAGTACTTCACGATATGAAAGTGCAATAGCAAATTGCTCAAGTAAGGATTAAGTTACTAAATTTACATGAATAGCATGGTAATGGCATGCTTATACCCCGAAAATATTTGGTTAAAAATTGTTTAACCAGTTGCACCACGACGAGACACTTAAGTAGCTATCAAAAGCCCTAAATAAATCTAGCTGGATATTGGATCACTCTTCTTAGAAGAATTGTTAGAGTTCATTTAAACTGATTTGGTTCCTGGCACAGACGTTGCTTTAACCGTAGTCCACAAGTTTTACAAATTTTCTTGTGTTGGAGCACACAGCCCATTGCCACAATGCCATCCAGAGGGTCTTTTAATAATGCTACTGTTTCACACAGTGGGGCAGTCAGACCACAGGGTCTCTTGATAGGACCTAGATGGCCATCAAGGATCTGGTTCTCCACACTCCTCAGTCTGGTGAGTGGGGTCCTGTGTGTCTGTATACTGTGGCAACTCAGAGTTTAAGCTCAGAGCAGGGCTATATGTTATATTGGTAAGAAAAAGGGAAAAGCTCTGCCAAAACAGAGCTTTCCCACCGGATTGTTGACACAGTAAAACAGATGTACAAAAAGTCTCTTCAGATATTAGTTGCCACACTACCAGGAACATTGCCTGGGCAGTAATTCGAGGTGTTCCATGAGGGGAAATCTGTGCAGCAGAATCCTGGGCAGTGCCTTACACGTTTGCTAGGGTCACCTGACTTAATCTGGTCTCAGGACCCACTCAAGCTTCAACTATTCTGCCATTGGCTGACCAGTAAGTTTTTCCTCACGACACTGCTAGTATAAGTCATCTTCATTGTTTACTGCAACTTCTGTAGGCAGGAGGGAAAGAAACCTAATTAAAGTTACAAAAGTTACCACGGTTCTGTGAACTCCCAGATAACTGCCAGTCATGCAGTTCACTTGGAGCATCGCAGTGCAAGAACATTTATAGAGATTGGATACTGGGGGGGGGGGGGGGGGGGGGGGTTATAGTGTACACGCGTAGGTAGCCTACAGGTCACACAGTTGACTTTGTTTATATGAAATCTCAACCTGCACTGAGCACAAGAAGACATAGCTGCATTGTTTATTGTCACTGGCAGTCTTCTGGGAATTCACAGAACCATAATTACCTTCGTAACTTCTGTTTGGAAACCTCACCTTTAGTCCTCCAAATGTAACTCTTGACATTGTGGCCAATGAGCTCAAACTTTGTCACTTCTGACCATAAAACCTTTCTCCAGAAGGCATTTGGCTTCTCCATGTGGGCAGCAACAAGTTTAAGTCGAGTTTTTAAAGGTATCGATTTTAGAGCAGAGGCTTCTTTCTTGGTCAGCTCCCAGTTGGTCCACAGTGAATGGAAAAACTTTTTTTTTCTTCAGCAGTTTTCAGTTCATGGCAGGTTTTATGCCTTGGTGGTTACAGGGTTGTTCCTGAACAGCCTAACCAATTTCCTGTCATCTGAGGTTGACAGTTTGGATTTTCTTTAAGACCTCTGCAAAGTGGTGACACATCTGTTAATCTTTTACGTACAGTTATTTGAAATGATGATCTTGTAATCTGCAGTTGTTTAGAAATGGATTCAAGAGATCTTTGCAACTTGTGTAAATCTAAACTTCTCATTCTTAGATCTTCATTGTGTTCACTGGACCATCCCATTGTTCTGAGTATTGGTCAATCCAGTGACTACAGTCAAACAAATCCTTTCTATGCTGGTGAAGAGAAAATACCAGTTGTTGTCAGTCGTGATCAGTTACACAAAGTTTTGTCCTTGTTGTGTCCTTGCCCTTGTTTTGGCTTTGTTAAACCTTTAGCAACACTCAAAAGATTTTAGTGTGTGTATATATTGAACCTGTTTACATATATCTAACCCTGTTTGAATTAGAGAAAATCCAAAGTGAATTCAAATGTGTACACTCTTGTTTTTTTGTTGTTGTTAATTTTTTAATTGATTAAAGTCGTGTACTGTACAGTAATTGCACCATGGAAACAAACTATTCAAAAAAATAATTAAGACTAAAATTACCATGACATCCATGCCCATGATGAGTGTATGTAAACATCTGAACACATCTCTATGTGCCATAAGCCCATATTTCCTGGTAATATGTCCTCTGTATTAACCTTCTGCTTGTGTTTTGTTTTTGTTGACAGAGCTTAGAGAAAATTATCCAGAGGGACTTTTTCCCAGATGTGACAAAGCTGCAGGCACAGAAGGAATATCTTGAAGCAGAGGAAAATGGAGACCTGGAGAGGATGAGAGAAATTTCCATCCGATACGGATCTTCGTTGACAAAATCTACACCGCAGTCTTCTGCACCATGTGAGTGAAGTGGAATTAAATAAGACATTATGTGTTCTCCAAGTAAAATACTTGTTAATGATAAAATACTTGAATTCAACAGGTGTTTTTTTTCTCATTCAAATTTTTTCTTTCTCTTCTGTTTGTGTAAGATGTGACGCCTGCTAGCTTTGAAACACCAGTGGGCCAGTTGGGATCCCCTGCTTCCACTTATTCTGCTAAAGCTGTAGATGGAGGTAAGTAAGCAGGGTGATGAACACATAACGACATGCAGTAAATGTGTAATTTGTTAAAGCTTCACATCCACGTCTCGCTGTTAATCCTTCTTTTGACATTTACATGCTTTTCCATATTGTATACCATTCTGTTTCTTATTAGTGGTTAACATGTTTGGCACTAAATTGATCGACTATGAGAAATTATTGGTATTTTTTCTTTTTTTCTAGAGAAGAGGGCTGACGACACAGAAGAACAAAATCTGCCCAGCCTGGACCGCTTCCTCGCTAAGAATACCAGTGAGGATAATGCATCCTTTGAACAGATAATGGATCTGGCAAAAGACAAGGAGAAACTGAAGCATGCCTGGTTGTATGAGGCTGAAGCTGAATTCAAACAGGTATGGATGGTTAGCTGTGTGAATGCAGGTGTGCTGATCTGTTTTCTGGGGCTTTCATATGTTCACGAGTGTCAATTTATCGCAAAAACTTGTAAAAGTATTTAAATCATTGCATTAGTTTCCCACAGACTTAAACTCATAATTTGTGGCGGTGTGGAGCACGTATGTTAGGGATGACCATTTAAACTAGAATTGTTATTCACCAAAAACTAGAAACAGTTTTTTTGAGATTGCTCACTCTAGCTTTACCTGGTGGAGTTTGCGGTGAACCAGATTTTTTTGTTTTGTTTTTCAGGCTGTAGTCCTCTTTGGCTCTGCATGTTTCCCCTGTTTTATATAGTAGCATCGCATCTGAATGTGCCACACGCCTTTTATCTGCCAGCAAATGGAAGCTAATGTGTTGCTTCTTCTATTTGCTCATCGCATGGTGGTCAGCGAACAGTTTGTAGGACCATTAATACCACTTCCTTCTGGTAGAGGTGCATTATATATTCACTTAGTATATATACTAACTAATTATATACTAACTAATTAAATTATACTCAGGATTTATTCCCCCCTTTAATAGCGGTTACATTGCTTAAAAAAATACTTTGTGCAGCTGTTTCTTGTCTTAAAGGATAAACAGCATTTTCCATTCTTTTTAAAAAAAAGAAAAAAGAAACTCATGTCTGGTATGTCGTAATAGACTTGTGCCACCAGAAGGTGACATTAGTGCACCCAGAAGCTTTGTCAGCTGCCAATAAACAAGAACACGAAGCTATTTCCCAGATGCTACTGTACAAACAGAAGATTGCTTTTATAAAGATTTTTACCAAGACAGTCTTGTGCAGAACTCCTTAAAAAAAAACAAAAAACCAAAAGACAAAATAAATGTAAATAAACTTTAGTCACTCCACCAGGTAAAGCTAGTGTGACGTAGTGTAACTTTTGAGAAGAGTTTGGAGTTGAAGAGGATGAGTATGAGTCCCTTATTCTAAAGATAGACTCCTAACAGGAGTCTTTGTTTCACAGTCTTTCAAAATAAGAGCAACAGGCTTGTCGAGTAAAGTAAAAGTGTAAAGTGTAAAGTTAGTCCCCATAGGGAAATAGTTCCTCTGCATTTAACCCATTCACCCAGTGAAGCAGTGGGCAGCCACGAGTGCAGCGCCCGGGGAGCAGTGTGTAGGGACGGTACCTTGCTCAGGGGTACCTCATGGTAGCCGTTCAGTGGAGTCGAACCCCCGACCTTCCGATCATGGGGCCAC